GTTAGCTTTGATCCTCTGAACTAATGTTAGCTTTGATCCTCTGAACTGACGTTATCTTTGATCCTCTGAACTAATGTTATCTTTGATCCTCTGAACTGACGTTAGCACTGATCCTCTGAACCTTCCACTAAGAGCCACAGACACGCCGTGCATCCGTTGAAGGCTAATGCGAGGTGACAGACAGGATGGTGGGGGCGTGGCTTCAAACAGCTGCACCTCACCTGTCAATCAATTCTAATGAAACAGTGGGGAACAACTGAACACTGTGAGGCGGAGACGGCAGTGACCTTTGACCCCAGCTGCTGACCAGCATATTATTCACAACTGATGTTCACACTTAATGAACTGACAAAGAGATGACCTCACTGAGCAGTTAGTAACACACAGAGAGTACCATGTGTACCATGTGTACCATGTGTACCATGTGTACCATGTGTACCATGTGTACCATGTGTACACCAGTACACGGTTTAAATGAGCCTAAGCTCTGAGGAATAAGTCAGTGAGGAGGTTGACCTGCCTGTGGAGCAGTGGACCACAGACGTGGCTCCACTAATTTCTGCCTGTTCTGATTTGTTCTCCAGGGAACTTGAACTTTGACCTTCTCTGAGAGGCACTCAAACACAGGCCAGAGGTCTTTGTCCTCTTTATTTACAACAACGTGAATTATGAGCTGAGAGTGTGTGAGGATCAGAGGAGTAAAGGACGAATCAAAATCAATCAATCAATCAATGATGATGATGATGATGATGATGATGATGATGATGATGATGATGATGATGATGATGATGATGATGATGATGATGATGATGATGATGATGATGATGATGATGATGATGATGATGATGATGATGATGATGATGATGATGATGAAGATGATGATGATGATGATGATGATGATGATGATGATGATGGGCCGACACACACACACACACACACACACGTCACATGGTAAAAACATGAGTACAGTCAGAGTCTGTGTGGGGGGGGGCTTCTTCACATGACTGTGTGGCAGTGTGGGCCAGAGGAGGGTCAACATGAGGCTCTGTCACACAGAGTGTACATTCAAACAGAATGAAAACATCAGGAGAAGGATGACATACCTGTGATACTGTGATGGTGCTTCCCACCCCCTGAAGGCAAAAAAGAATGGGCTTTTACAGTATCTGACTCTTCACCACTGCACTCAACATGCCCCCCCCC